TAGATTAATAAATAATCTCCTATTGTGTACAGAATCACAACACTTACTCCAAAAACAAATATATATAATTATATATATATAATATTGTGAGTTGAGTTGAGAATTTCACTTGACAGAGCTTTGATGTCAAATAAATAAAGAAAGACAGGTTTCATAAATGAGGAGTGAAGAGGTTAAGGGAACACTGACAATATTTCTTTGTATTTTGCTTTGTTTTGAAAAGGCCACATGAGAGAGCTCTCTCTCTCTCTCTCTTTGAGGTGGATCTATTTTTTTTGGTCCAAAACTCTGGCACTACAATCAAACCAAAGACACCACCTTTATGTGAAGGTGAATACGGATACTACTTCTCTTTGCACGAGGGAAGGAATCAGAATCAAAATCAAAATAAAATTAAAAACAGCTAATGGGTGATATAAAGTTTTCAATTCCTAGCAGATAAGTGCAGTACTACTAAAGTCTCTTTTAAGAGATAAGCATTAAAACATGGTAGAGTTTATAGATTTTTGTAGGGATTGCTTTATTAAATCTGCCTATGCTCTTTTAGCTGCATTATATATTTTGATGAATATCGAGATATACATGGTTTTACCCCACTAATTCTCGGAGCTCCCAAAGAATTATTTGTACTCATGAAAGCGTAGTCTCAAAGAATTATTTGTACTTATGAGGAATCTAATTTTAAATCTGGTGCTTCATGTACTTTTATTATTTGTCCCTCAATTGTATCCAAACATCTTATTTTTTTATATTTCCATTAAAATGGTATCTCTCTTTGATTTTGGATCAGGTGTGTGATTATGAAATTATGTGTTGATTTGTAAGGTTGCTTTCAGCTTTGGACAAAAATAAAATGAAATGCTCTTTGAATTATCGACTCTCAATTAACTATGTTGGCAGCCTATTGCAATCGATTAGAATGATTAATAAATTCTTAAAATTTTGTTTCTTGTGAGGGAGGGTCTAATTTTGTAATTTTGCTTTAATGGTATTTGATAGTAACAGAAAAATTCAGTAAGTTAATATTTATATTTGGTTTTATACTAAGTCGCATAAAGTGGTAGATAGAGCGCAAAAGCAACAAAATTAAATTACAAACAAATCGTGAGAATGGGAGCTAGATTTACACCTGTTAAAAAGAATTGTATGACCTAGATTTTAACACAAACACACTTGTCATAGGCTAGCTACACCTATTGTAACTTCTGCGGCTAGCTATTGGTCACTGTTGGTGTTTGTTTGAGTGTGTTTGGATCATAAAAAAACAAACATATTTCAGCCACTACATGAATAGCTTCCCAATGAGATTGAGGAAAAACTTCAAGACAAAATGGCTGAGCTAAATCTAGTTTATGATTATGTTAAGTGCTGTTAGGAGGAGATTGAAACAGCACTGGACCGTCAATAAGCACATCAATCTTAAGAATCATAGTGTGAACTATACTCTAATACAGGTCCATAGAACACGTGTGCCATTAGGGGAGAGAAAACCCTAACGTACCTCGATTTGGAAGGAGAAAGAGAAGGAATGAGAGAAATGGTATAATAATACTTGTTTAACCTTCCAAAAAAAAAACCTTTAGGAGTCATCCAAACCAACATGAATTTGTTCTAATTTTTACAAGAGTTAGGCTGAAATATTTAAACATAACACGACTTTGTCATATATATGTATGTTTATACATGATTTTAACACACACACACTGGCCATAAGCCTAAATACCACACATTAACTAGTACATAATGGAACACATACACAAAACTAGTAGTAATCATGATGCAACTAATAAGCTCCATATGATCAAAGTAGTTTCACGGCTTATTTATCATTAAGCAGTAGTTGCCATGGACTGATATAGATATATATTTAAAGCATATAATTTTAAATTTTTAAGCTCATTACATCAACAAACTATCAAGACTTTCATTTTATTTTTGTCCAAATCTGAAAGCAACCTTACAAATCAACACATAATTTAATAACCACACACATGATCCAAAATCAAAGAGAGATACCATTTTAATGGAAATATCAAAATTTAGTTAAAACCATTAATACTGACCATGGTTATATCCATTTGAAATTTTAAATTCACATTGTCAGTTACAACCAATACACACCACAATATTGCTCGATAGCTATGAGTAGTATCAATTCACTCCGTTAGAAAATAATATCTATGTAAAATCAGCTATATCTGTATCCTCCTACAAAAAGAGTCAGAATTTATCAATTTTTTACTATTATTTTTTACATGGAAATTGAATCCTTATTTGGAAGCGACATGAGATACCACTCAAGCTGAGTCTCTTGGATGGGGAAGGGTGGTAATAGAAGTGGAAAAAGTAAGTAATACAAAAAATAAAAAATGGTTCCTATTAGAAAGAATTCTGAAACTTAACAATTTGTTCAATTTTAAGATAACCAGACTATTTACGGGAATCTTCCATGCCCACATAGTCAGAGGGCCAAAGAAGAATGATTTTATTTGTTTTGGTAGCTTTTTTCATTCAAGCTATATATTCAAGGCTCTTTGATGACTGCAGACTAAATCCTCAGCAGAACCTAGGAATTTAGGAGTTAAAATTCAAAGCCACCAACACATAGGTAGTCCAATTAGTTTTTATGTATAATTAATTATTATAACTCAATTTAGATCAAGAATTATTCAAGATTGTTGCCTCTTTCTCAAATGGCATGTAGAGTATACCTCTGTGTAATATGTCTTTAGGCATCTACGCACATGATAGAATTGATGCAAAAGCTAGCAAACTCTATAAATGAGGCTTTTTTAATATATGTATTTAGCATTAATTTATCAAAAAAAATGTATTTAGTATTAATTTATTATTCCAACATTCCCTTGTACTTGTCTCCCCCATTTTCAAGACTTACACATAAATTATGTGTGTGAAAAATATTCAACACTCTGCTCTCTCTCTATTTAACTCTCAATTTTTTATTTTCAATCTATATTGTCCCATTTAACTCTCTATTCATCTCATAATCTCCCTCATCTTGTATATATGTTTGTTGTACACATAGTGATACAATTATCTAGTAATCAATGGCATTGATTTTGTGGTTGTATTTTGATTTGAAAAAGGTCTGTAGTGTGTGTTTAGGAAAAGTTTAATCTTGACACCGCCTATCCCTATTGAGGGAATTAGTAGTGTTTCGCTGTAAATAGATCTCTAAATTACATTATATAATTATGATATTTAATTGTTTTATATTTCATTATTTTTTGAACTTCATATTTAGGTTTTTTTTTTTTTTTTTTTTTTTTTTTTTTTTAAACTAATGAGTCAATTTTCGAAGCAGTTGGACAAATGGATGAGAGACAAATTATATGCTATTGTCGATTTGATGGGAAAATTGACAAAAATGAGAATGGGGAAATTATATACATCGGCGGTGTCACAGACCCTTTTATGATAACAACAACAACAACATACGAATCATTTATAAATGAGTTACAACAACGTTCATCTTCAAACATGAGTGGTAAAGTCATATATTATACCACCGAATCTAACAAGAATGAACTTTTGAGGATGACGGGAGAATCTGGATTTAGAGTGATGCTTGTAGTGAGTGGTCCCATGCTAAATGTGTATATGGAAGATGCAGAGCCTGTAATTGCATCATGCACAATTCCTACTGATCATAGTGAGAGGTAAGACACATATATTTAAAGTAATACATTGATGTATGCGCTGCATAGGTTATGTGATTTTTAATATACCTTTTTATCCACTTGTAGACAATTTGTTGAAGCCACATCGCCAATTGGTCTTCTACAAAGTGTTGCGTCAACGTCTTCATTTCCTCCGATAAATGCGCATCAGGATTCTTTCCGACACATTGATGACATTCTTTGCGTGGATCAGCTTTTTGACAGCCCAAATGATTTCAAAGATGCACTTGTTTTGTTTGGTCTTCGTAATCATTTTCGGTTCAAGTACTTGGACAATAGCAGAAAATATTATAGAGTTGTGTGCGAGGTTAATAATTGTCCATGGAAATTATCAGCTGGTTGTGAAGGAAGTGGTGATATAGTGAGAATCAAGCGGTTTAATAATGTTCACTCTCACATTGCTCAAGGCATTTCAGATTATAAAGCCATTTTTTGGTCGAAGGAAATGGGTCGAGCTATTGTGAACAAGGTTAGGGACAATCCTAAATGCACCCCCAAGACTATTTCCACAGACATAAACGGTGAATTTTCTGCTAAAATGACTTACATGCAATCGTGGAGAGCTAAGGAGTGTGCACGTCATATCATTGAGGGAAATCCCAAGGATAGCTATATTTTAGTCCCGTGGTTGTGTGAACGAATAGCAGAATATATTCCTGGGACAATTACATCGTGGGAGTGCACGGATGATAGGAGATTTAAGCGAGTGTTTGTAGCTTATGGGTGCTCCATACGAGGTTTCATCAACTATTGCAGGCCCATGTTAGCAATCGATGCTTGCCACTTGAGTGGCAATTATAAAGGAACAATGCTTGGTGCAACGGGGTTCGATGCGAATGATGGCTTGTGGCCTTTGGCGTATGCTGTTGTTTCTTCTGAGAATGATGATGATTGGCATTGGTTCTGGAGCAAGGTGAAAGAGATTCTAGATGGTCGCATTGTGACAATCTTAACCGACAGGCATCCGAGCCTAATAAGTTGTATTAGAGATATTTTTGGCTCCCAGTACCACTCATGGTGTCTTCGTCACCTAACGGCGAATTTTTCTACATCCATTCTTGGGAGACAAAGTTTAGGATTGAGGGCTTCGGGTAAAGAGCATGCGAAAAAATTACTCGATAAAATTGCATATGCTCGAACTGTAGATGAGTATAAGAATGCATTGGCTGCCATGTGGGTATTTCGAGGGGAGTTATGCGATTGGGTTTTGGCAAATTCACCTGAACATTGGTCAAATGCTATGTTTACTTCCAAGCGTTAGGATAAATTATACACCAATCAAGCAGAGTCCTTCAATGCATGGGTGAAAGAAGAGAGGGTTTTTTCAATCACAAGGCTGATGGATACACACATGCAAAGACTCAGCAAATTTTTATACCAAAAGAGTTTGGACGTTCAGAAGTGGACTATCCGGTTGGGGATCGTATTGAGGAGAAAATAAAAAAAGAGCAAGAGTTAGCTCTTGGTTTTCAGTCGATGCGTGTTTCGCCTACTGAGTGTACAATATATGATCGAGACAGAAAACCATTCAGGGTGGTATTTGGCAGTGAAAATTCTTGTAGTTGTTTGAAGTGGACCATGAGTGGGATTCCTTGTTCGCATGCATGCTATGCCATCCATGAATTATCTTTAAATATTTATGAGATGGTTGATCCATGGTTTAGGGTTGAAACACAACAAAAACTATGTGAACATCTCATGTCTTCTGTCCCCATGCATGATATGCCGAATGCAGCTGCTGTTGCTGCTGCTGACGGTGAAGGTGCTTCCCATCTTAGGCCTCCTGCGGTAACACGTCCCCCTGGACGACCTCGTATTAAACGAATCGAATCACAATTTCAAAATGTAAGGTCGTTACACTGTTCGTGATGCGGCGAGAATGGTCATAATCGTCGAAAGTGCAAGGCTCCTATACCTGGATAGAATAGTTATATAATTGCTAATTCTGGTGGAGTTATTTTGTAAGGTGTTAAGGCCTTAAATATGGAATTATTTTGTAATTACTATTAATTCCTTAGAGCTCCCCTACTGCATTAGTATAACTATGTTGTGATAGTATTTCTAACTTATTTAGAAAACATTTCTAAGTATGATGTAACTTATTCTAAGTTGAATCTGTATTATTCGTCTGGTGGTTTATTTTGGTATTGAAATTATTTTCCTGGGTCCTCGTATGAGTCTCATGTGGAGTGTTATTTAAAAATCATAGGTGTGTGAGTTTTCTGGCAGTTGGAGGGTCGTGAAAGCAAGGAGGTTATGGGATTATGTGACAATGGACGGGCTTACATGTTACATGCTTACGGAAGGCTAGGAAAATAACATCATATTAAAGTCATTATGACTTGTTTCCTCACTATTAATTCCTTGGAGCTCCCCTACTGCATTATGACTGTTACTTCAACCACAATTTACCTCGTGAGTCTCTCTCTTCCTCACTTTCTTTGTGTCTCAAAAATTATATGAACATTGTGTTTACGTTATCAACATTGTTTGACAGATGAGGCTGAATGGATAAATCAGTACAAAGGAAGAGTGTTCAGTTTAAACGACAAGCCTGTGGTGCATAAAATTTGGCTGCCGAATGAGGAATGCCCCAGATTGGCAATGTCTAGAGCCTTTGGGGACTACTTTATTAAGGATTTTGGACTTATATCCGTCCCTGAAGTGAGGTGTTGTCACATATAACCAGCAGAGACCAATTTGTTGTGTTGCGAACCGATGAGGTATGTATGGCACTTTTTGGTATTTATCACTTGTTCTTTTTTATACAATGACAAAGAAAAAGACTTGTTTGTTTCTCTATTAAATGTCCAAAAGATCACGTGAACGAATACGTTTCAAACTCACGAGCATAATTGACAATAATCACTTCAAATTATGTGATATCAGTTATTATTAATGAGTTTACAGGTTTTTGTTTTGGCTCAAATTGATTGGATTTTGAAATTAGTATGGATTTTTGAAGTTAATCTTAACATTCTGTGATCCTTGTTTTGTAAGCAGAATTTTTCCTATCTTTTCCTTCAAACCTTATTTAATCGGTAAGAAAATTTATTGATTTAAATTGATAGAAGAAAAATTGTGTGTTTAAGCTTCCAATGGACTTGGTTTCATGCAAATTGTTTGAGAATTTCTTTTTATTGATTTTTCAAAGGGAAGTATGTATTTCTGGGAAAAATTGTTTCAAATAGATTTTTGGGCTTCCTTCTGATTTTTTGTGGTCCAAATAGTCCAATCATGTTTGATAGAATAAAAAAATAAAGAAACAATAATAAAAAGGATTTTGCTATAATCTTAGTTGACTACTGTTACCCCATTTATTTATTTATTTTGTTTAGAGTCTTGCTTTTGGTTACTAGCACCTAATAAAAAAGTTGTCTACTCATATGTCCCTTATTTTTGAGTTTTTTCATTTAACCATCTCCACTTGTACAATATTTTGGTGTTATATTTTGTTTAATTGATTTGCATGTACTTCAAATGTAGTCTTCCCGCTAGGGGCTGGGAAGAGATAACAACGGGAGCGTCGATTGCATGGCTATCAAGTACATCAAATTTGTAAGTTATATGGTCTTTATGTTCGATAAAAATCTTTTATGATTGCACATTTGTAATGCTTTTTATACTCATACTCGGGGGGGGGGGGGGGGGGGGGGGGTCACATGCCTTTAAGTGACCAATTTTATGGTGTATCTTGAACTTTATTACCTTATTGCTACATCGGCCCATGTGGAGGCCATTTTTTTTTTTTTCTTGTTTTAAAATGTTGAAAGCATGGGAGTATGGGATCATCGTATGTGGAGGTTTTGATTGATTGTTGTGGAGGAGAAGTTGTTGATATGTTGTTTAATGAGTTAATGTAAGTTCTCACGTTCTTCGTACATGTTGATATGTGGAGGTTTTGCTAATTTTCTCTTAAACCCAACTCATTCATCAACGCTCTCTTGCTCTCTCTCTCTCTCTCTCTAGTCTTGTTCATCGTTTTGCTAGGATTTCTACTCTGTTTTTATACAATTTTGATCCCTATATATATATATATATATATATATATATATGCTGTTCCTAAAACATCAATTTTGGATTCAGGAATTGGACACAAAAATGTCGCGATTCCCTCTCTCCGATCAGAAACTTCGAAGGCAAAATTTGTGCGAAAAAGTATGTGTTTCCATCTGCTTGTGTGTGTTTATGTATGTTCGCCAACCAATTGATATTTTCGGCTTTCTGTTTCGTTGCAATGAATTCAAGAAAACGAGAAAAGTTTAAATTCTTTTAGCTTTTGTATCGAATTCCTTTTGATTTTCTTTCTTTTGTTTGTCTTCGTGAATTTGTTGGACTTTTGGATTTACTGTGAACTACGGTTTCTTCGTCTACTATTTGAATGTTTCTTTTTTTTAGACGATATCTAGTGTTGTTTGCAATATCTTTAGATTTTTGTGGTTGATGTTCCCATTAATTTCTTGGATTTTGATTTTTTTTCACGTAAGGGTTTCTTTAGCATATTTGGATGGTTTATTGTCTACGAATATAAGTTTTCAAGAATTTAGGGTTTATTTGTTCAACTTGTATAGATTCTGCACGACTAGAATTTTTGACATCATTAGATAATTTTTTAAGTCATAGTCCTGTAGGTTTCTTGGTTTGGATTTCCATGGGATTCAACATGAAGATTCAGGGAAAACACACTCAATATGTTTTTGTTTCTATTTGTATAAATTTGGATTTACGTAGTTCTTTCTTTATTCAGAGAAATAGACCCAATAAAGTTTAAATAATCAATAGGTCCCATAATCTCTTGAGAGAGGTGCAATGAGATTGTGATCAAAGACACATCAAAAGAAGAAGTGAATTCAAATATATTTGATAATGAAGCAATAGGTATAGCCATTTTAGGGCTTTCCTTTCACAATTCCTCATTGGGGGGATCCACAACACTTCTCCCTTTTCCCCTTATAACTTCCTCCCACTAATTCGAATTAGGTCTAGCCGTCCTCCTTCATTCTCCATTTTTGTGTATGCTTAGTAGTGGGCTTAGAAGAGCAAGATTGGGTTGAATGACCAAAAGATTCACAATCTAACATCTGTGACTTCTCATATAGCTTCCTCTCTATATATACCAGTCTCGAACCTTGACCAGTGGGTTTATAATTCAAACCATAAGCCAACAGGCTATAAGGTGAACCGGTAAGCATTTTCATTTCTCCAGTTGTTAGGTTTCTAAGTGAGGAAAAGAGATAATAATGTAATATTATCTTATGTCCTATTGTCTTGGATTACAAAGAATTTTTACTCGAAAGGAACCAAAATAGTTGTAGAAGACAGTAACGATAGTTTCAGGTTTTGTTTTTGTGTTCCATATAAAGAAAATATTACATTTCAAAATATACTCTCTTTATTTATTTAATTTTTTTTTTAATATCTTTGCCTGCCTTCTTTTGTCATCGCAATAGGCTTCATACTAATCTTGCTCCTGGGTTTTAAACTCTATGGCTGATTTTTTCCTGTCATTTTGCCTTTATATATATATATATATAGGTTTTATTGGAAATTCACACTAATCTTGTTCTTTTGGGATGGCAGCTGGATAGGTTTATTCCCAACCGATCTGCAATGGATTTTGATTTTGCACATTACATGCTCAATGGTGGGATGGTGAGAAAGGAAAGCCCAACACCATGCTCTCCAGCCAAAGAAGCTTACAGGAAGAGGATCCTTGCTTTTAAGAACAAGTCTAGGAGATAGATTCCCCAAGTGGGTTTTCTTTCTTTCCTTTTTCTTCTTCTTATTGCTAAGCTCTCATTCTGATTTGTGTTTTGGATTGATTGCTTTCTTGTTGACATGTGTTTGTTTGGTAATTTAACAGTCTCCAGAAAGGATTCTTGTTGTTTCTGAGCTCCTAGATGAGTTTTATTTGAATTTACTGGATTGGAGTAGCAGTAACATTGTCGCTATCGAATTCAGTATATTTGTGGAATGCTGCTAATGGCGCTACTTCTGCACTTGTTGTGATTGATGAGGAAATTGGGCATGTGACAAGTGTCAGATGGGCGCCGGATGGAGTACATCTTGCTGTTGGACCCTTCATCTTGTCGGATGGTAAGAGTTTTCTTTTAATTATGCTTTCGTTTTTTCTATTTTATTGATCATTTATGCTTTTGTTTCTTTGAACAGATTATTGTAAGTAATTAGATGAGGCATGGTGAAAAGTTGGCATTCTTTTTTAATGTTGTTCTGTTAAAAAAAGATGACAAGCATTTTTGACTAGTTGTAAGAAACCCTGATCAATAAAGAAAAATTTTATTACAAAAAATGAGATGATAAACAATAAGATTCAAAACACATTCTCGCTGAAAGAAAATTTAAATCAGAGACGAAAAAGCCTAAAAATAAAGAATAGAGGCACTCACACCCCGAGTGGTTGGAGAAACGAAACGTTCAACTGAATAACTACAAACCAGGAACTCTGCTCTTTGATATTTCATGAACTCATGTTTTCCATGATATGTAGGTGCTAAGAAGAAATTGGGCTTCTGTCAGTTTCTCTAACTGCATTTTGTGTGGAAAAAGAAAAACTTAAAGAAAAACATGGGTTTAAATGCAACACAAGATGCATTTTTATATCCCATTTAAGTTCTGATAAAGTTGGTAGTTTCTTTTACCTTTTATTTAGTTTGGAAGAGAACAAAGTCCAGTTTAGTGGTGAAGTGCAAGGTTGAATGAGGCATGTATCATTGAAGATTTTATTATACTGATATAATGCATAAAGTGAACTACTATGAAGGATTATGGCTTGTATAGTTGGCCTATATTTTAGAAAACAAATATTAGAACTAAGAGTATTATATTCTTTATTTGGAGTGAAATGAAATGTATTTATTGCAAATTGTCACATTTCTCATGATCTAGGCATTAGATTTGATTTTTCTGGTGCCACCTCTCCATCCCGTACTCTAATTTTCTTGGTTTTTCTGAACAGCTGAGGACTTTGCAAGACGGGCATAGTTCACACACTGTATTAGAAAACTGTATTAGAAAATTAAAAGAAACCAAAAACTGTCTTGGTATGGATGATGGCTTTAGGATACTGCTGAAGAAAATACTAAAAAAAAAAAAAAAAAAAATAACTGTGTTGGTGTAGGAGTGATCCCGAAGTAGGGTTATTAAAGAAATTAAAGACTCAAAAGGTGATGTTTAACTGGTTAATCTTGAAATATAGTTGCAGTTTCTTTGTCCAGTTCTTTTATGATCTTGTTTTCTTACCCCTTGCTGAAAATATCCTATACTGGATCTTGGTTCCCTTTACTATTTAGTCTATTACTACTTACATATCTTGTTCACTGATAATCAAGTTAAATTATACTTGTACTTGAGAATCCAATATAATTAATTGGTCTTTCTGGGTGTATACCAAAATTTACATGAAAATACAAAACCTTTGGAATTAAATTAGGTGGGTCACGGGGATTTAGACCTCCATTACCCAAATTAATTGTATGGGAAAGCAGTATTGTTTATCAGGAGTAGGCGGAATTAAGTTGCCTACTGCCCAAATTAGCACTAGGCTCTCTTATCTTGGTTTTGTTTATTTATGTATGTTATTTTGTTCGTACGTTTTGGTAGTAGTTTCTTCGCTACATTTTGTTTGTCAATGATGATGATATCTATTTGATTCATAAATGACAATCTTATTCGTTCCTTTTTCTGATTAGCATACTGAATTTGAGACTTGTGTGATGCAGCTACTTGCTTGGATTTTGTACCGTGGACAATGAGGTGATTTTTTGACAAGTGCAGACTGAAACTCAAGTGCTAGAAGGTTTATAAATTTGGTAAATAGCAGTGCTAGAAGATTTTGTTCCTGTTTTGGAACATTGATGAATGGTGAATTGTTTTGGAACTTTAGTAAATGATGAATTTTTTTAATGTACAATGAATTTTTTGTTGTAGTGATAGGCAGACACCATTCATGCACAACTTGAAAAAGTGATGGATGAAATAATTTAAAGATTATCCAAATGATATAAATAATTTATAGGAGGAAATCTATTTAAAAATTAAATTAACATTATAATAGTTTTGTTAAAATAAAGACATTAGATTAGTAAATTGTAATTACAAATAGGGATGTCAATAGTCTGCCTCATGACAACAATGCCACTATTTATAACTTTTTCAAACACTAAGGCTTTTTCTTGATGATGTGACCATACCTCTTTATCTGCCATGGTGTAAGGCTGTTTTACATTATTTGGCTTTTTGTTCAATCACATGGCTAGACACAGAATGGGACTCTTACTGAATAAATCAGCTCTTGTAGATAAACAAAAGCAACCCACTTTCATATCTTATCATCACATGGCTAAAGTTAAAAATAGTGGTGCTAGGTGCATGAACTATTATGCAAAACACCCCACTTCCTGCCAAAGAGAGAGAGGTGTAAGTCCCTTTTGTCAAATCATCACATGGGTAAAACTCATTCACATGTCTGTGAATTGGGCTTTGTAAATAGACATATGGCATATGCACAATGCCATAACATTAGCACTAGTAAATCTCAAGGACTGAGTTTTTTTGAGCAATAACGGGGAGGTGGAATTCATACAAAATACTGCATAAAATAAATCAAAAATACATACATTTCATATACATACTGCATAAAATTTAACTCAACTACTAAGTTTTTTTTAGCAATAACGGGGAGGTGGAATTACAAAGTCATCATCCCCTGTATCTGAATAATCTGACAACTCTGAAGCAACTTATAAGTCTGGATCATTAGTAATGGCTTGAATAACTTCAATTGGATCCTTATGCATCTTCTTTGCAATGGAAATGCTCTCATTCCTGCAACATCTGACATATAGATTTTTTAATAGCTTTGATCAAATATGAGAAAAAATAAAGATACTACATAATCAAAGTGCACTTAGAAATCTATTTAAAAAATAAATTAACATTATAATAGTTTTGTTAAAATAAAAACTTTAGATTAGTAAATTGTAATTACAAATACGGATGTCAATACTCTGCCTCATGACAACAATGCCACTATTTATAACTTTTTCAGACACTAAGGCTTTTTCTTGATGATGTGACCATTCATCTTTATCTGCCATGGTGTAAGGCCACTTCAAATTATTTGGCTTTTTTTTCAATCACATGGCTAGTCACAGAATATGACTCTCACTGAAAAAATCAGCTCTTGTAGATACACAAAACCAATCCACTTTCTCATCTTATCATCACATGGGTAAAGTTAAAAATAGTGGTGTTAGGTGTATAACACGACAACTATTATGAAGACACCCCTATCATGCCAAAGAGAGAGATGTGTAAGTCCCTTTTGTCAAATCATGATATGGGTAAAATTCATTCACATGTCTGTGAATTGGGCTCTATAAATAGACATATGGCATATGCACAAAACCATAACAATAGCACTAGTAAATCTCAGTTGTTGATCTATGGACCGAAAGTATATAGAACGAAAGTACTCGTTAAGAGATGCATGGATTGAAAGTAGTTGTTTTACA